CTACCTTTCACGTTATTTTCAATGCGCAGACAACTGACGCCTCCTGCTGTACGGGCAGTCGACGCCATTAATGAAACAAACGACGCTGAGTGGGTTAAAGCGTCGATTTCTGACGAAATCGTTTTCAGTCGTTTTTTGGCATTCAGAAGGCCATTTAGCGGAAATGGACCATAGTTTTACACTCAGTGCTCATGCCCCTATACCATGCAAAAAACCATTTTCAAAAAGCGTTCCACGCCCTGAAAGACCTTCCTTGTGAGATGTGATCTGATCTCTCAGGATCAAGCTATTGCTGCTCCTGCAACCCTCTCTTTTCCGATGTCTTGAATAACTCACCGCCGCGCTTTGGCTAGTCAGAAGACGAAATTCTTCGTTCTCGACCATCGAGCGCCTCGCACTAGATGCCCATTTCCATATTTTTGCTTTCGGTATGGCACCTTTGGCGAGCTTCTTGCAACCACTGCAGTCAGCTAGGTCTTTTGGGTTCGCGCTTTTTCTAGGGCTGGTAGACGGTTTTTCTTTGCCTCACTACTCACTGATCTTCATCGTTTCAGAACAAGGCTTCTCGCCCCCTCGAAATCCGGCTTCAGTCTCCCGCAATACTTCCCTTGCACACCGTGGAATGACTTCATGATCATCCAGGTATGTTGGATCGCTCCATCGGAATGCAAGAAACCAACTTCCTTATTTTCCGTTGAGCTTTTCGGTTTTCTTCGATCAAGTCGCTTACTACCCTGCAGCATTCACACACTGCCCACACAGCTCGGGCGGGACTCTGCGTCCCACTTCCGGGTGACGCCCTAGCATTATCACTAATTTCTTCTGAGGTTTTTCAAAATAGTTTCGACGAAGTTTCTCCATCAGCCGGCCTGTCAACTTGAGGCCGACGCTGGTACCGACACCCAGCTTTCGCAAGCCACGGTTTTTGCCAAGGCAAAAATAGCAAATATATTCCGTTATAAGGACTAATCACAACTATTGGGGACTGATAACGAGCCTAGAAGCTATTAGATCTATATTGCTCTTGGTATTAACACTTGGTATCCACTTCAGTAGTTGATGTGCGATGTGAAGGGATCATAGATGATTGGTGACAAAGAACGATAACTAGGGACAGGGGCTGGCAAAGAGTCGTAAGAGGCTCGAAACGATAGCTTTGTAACAGTCATCCTCTCACCAACGGGATATTGACATTTCATCAGAGGGGAACGGAACTTACGTGCGTCCGACGATGCGCGTGGCAACTTGCGCGGCGAAGAGCGTGGTGATTCAAACGGCCTAGCGCCTATCATGGGACCCAAATTTGAAGTAGAGTAGATTAGTAGTACCAGGTGACCCTACTTATCTACTGTATTTGAAATTAGAGCCCCAATGATAGGCGTCAGAGTCGATCGAATGACCACGAACTTTGCCGCGCAATTTGCCTCGTGCATCCTCGGACGCACGTATGTATCCATACCCTTTATCAGATTGTCAAGGATATGATGAGGTCGTAAGTACTCTGTGACAGGAACTGATTACGATTGATAAATAAAAGAAAAAGGAACAAAAATTCTTCGTGATTTAACGTTTATTTACTAAATGTGAGTGATTCGTTTCGCCTCGAATTCGACTAATCACTTCGTTTTTCGATTTCGATTTGGACAAGAGCTGAGAGCCTATGCAGTAGATGCCATAGACATTTTTAGCTTCTGATACTTCGATGTTATGTAGCTGTGTAACATGATTGGTCCCCTCAGTATGAGGTCGTCGTCTCCCCCTACTCGATCGCTGTTTGCATTTCTTCTATTCACTGACGGTAGTGATTCGGGGTGCAAACGATTATCTGAGAAATTCTTCTGGCCGGGCTATACTGAATGAAGGAACCACTAATGGCATCACAATACATGTTATCTTTTTGTATTCTGTGTATGACAAGCAAGTGAGTTTTTTGTGAATTGTGTATTAGTAAAGTCAGTGTGAGTGTGTCCATTGGGCGCATAAATAAATAAATCAATGAATAAATATCTACACCGGGTAGAAATGAATCCTTGATGATTTTTTCGGGTAAAATCAACAGCCACAGGTCGATTTTTATAAACACAGCTGTTACCTTCATGAAGTATTGAATACCACTTCCATTGTTACCAGTGCCAACCTAGTTCCGGGCATATTCCTTCAGAACAGAAGTGATGGTGAATCAGTAGAGCGTTCCATTCCGTTTTTGATGGAGGCCAAGGGAATCCTTGACAGTCGTGTAACATAAATGGTGGAAAGAGTAAGAAGTTGTACCATCACAAGAGATGAGTCATGTAAAGGAAGAAAAGAATACATGTGACCGTTTATTTCGACGTCATATTGTTGTAATGTTCACAGCTCAGGTAATTACATTTCTGGGAACCACCTTACCACATATCATCGGATCATGTCAATGACTGGTTTTCATGGCCATCGAGTGATTTAAGGAAATCATGAAGTGTTCCGTTACAAGAATTACAGTAAACAAGATTATACAAAAATTACTAAAAACGTACAACTGATAGCAAATCAAAAACTATTGCATACCCGTAAATACGGCACTCATCGGGTGTGTTGGAAGAGTCTCAAAAAACACATATCTTGTTTAGTTGGTCTAGGTAAAGGTTGAGTTATTGAAGCTATTAGTTACATGGTGGTATCACCATTACCAACTCCGTGTTAACCGCGTTAGAACAGCGCAAAATGGAAAAGACTTCAGCAGATCACGTCACTAATGATTGAGGTGTTAAAAACTAGTAGGATTCGGCACTTAAAGGCCCAGTTCACGATAAAAATAGTTTCTGAGATTTCTCCATAGAATGAATTTGACCGTATACCATATCTATTATGCTATTATTTCTAACAGGTTCGAAAACGGCTTAGGCAGGGTACTATAGAGGCTTAAAGATTGCACCGTACGTATTCTCGAACGAGTTTCACCGGCATTGGAGAAGCTTCACCGACTACAGAGGATCCCGGGGAACGTCCGTTGCACGCGTCCTTCGAGATTAGGTCAGTCCGCCCACTTCGCGCGCGGTGCAGCCCATTGAGGTTTCTAGATGACATTACAATACCACTAAGTGTCATTGGAGCGAATGATTTGCATTTGTCATCTTCTCTTTGAGCTGACTGCCGTGGACCAAGCGCAAATCGAATGCCCCACTGACAACTGCGACGTCTGTCAAGTATCGCGGGCTTACCTGCGGCTGCGGCGTGATCTAGTTTTTAGGACGAAGCGCACCCAATGGATACCATGGAGGCATTACAAACAATTTTTCATCACCAATAGCAACAGTGAAAAACAGTTCCGTACAGTTGTGGCTTGACCTCTTTGCGCAATTGTATCAACCGAAATCTCGTCCGAATACCCCTTCCATGTTGTTTCCGCTATGGTAATCTCGTCCAGCCTCTGTTTTTCCTACTTTTGTGGAGCCTATTTTGCTCGAAATCAGCGAATTTTCTCGCTTTCTTCACTACCAATAAACTATTACCAACCTATACTTCCACTTCTCGATTAAAAAGGGGTACCTCAAAATTATCGGGAACTGTGCCTTTAAATTATAATCTTCTCTTTCCCGTTTAAAGTTCAGGAGATGAATATTAAGAAAAGCTAGCACTTTAAAAGAACTAATAACCAAAAGAAGAGAGACTATTATACAACAAATGTCGTACTTTCCAACTCATATCGTAAAATCGGTCACTCATGACGTAATACACCACAGTAGCAACAACTTCGAAAGACCAGCTAATTTGATCAAAAGACCAGTTAATTTAAAGACCTAGCTTCTTCAACCATGAATATACCACGGATCGGGATTTTCATATTTTGTTATGAGTACATGAGTCAACAACCGGTTTCTGCCTTACAAACACTTGATAAGTTATGAGATCATAGCCGAAATGCCCCAGTCTTTGGAAGGGATTATGTTCCGTTACCGCGATGAGCAAACACGATTCAACTGTGACGTGACCGTCGAATCACGGTTCAACCGTATCAGTGAATGACGTTGCTCACTGCCACAGCCACTTGAAGAACGCAGTTCATAGTCGTAGATTGCCGAAAGTGCCAGGTTGTCACGAAAAGCTGATATCACTCCTTTACGAATGACACTACTGAAAAAGGATTATCTAATTCCAAATCAATCATGACACCATTTTATGGTGATTTGCTATCCTTCGAAGAGGATCATAGTGTAACAAAGATCCTTCCTATATGTAAAGCGCTCGCATAGGTATTGTCCCTCTGTCACGAAATTCGGTATTATCTGAAGAAGCCCTAAGGAGGTCGGGTGAAGTTTGGGATGGGTGGGACATCCTACCAAGGACAAAATCAACGGAGCATACGTGAGCTTGTCGGAACTCCGTTCACAGGGACGGAACCTGCATCGGAAAGGCCAAGGGCGAACATTTCTGTTTCGGTTTCGAAAAAAACCCGTAACTTGGGAAATCTGGGTAAAGTTCACGAATGGGCGAATAGTTCAGGTAAAGGAGGTTTATCCGCGGTTGGCGGAGCATTCTCAAAGTGGGCAGTACTATTGAAAAAATTTGTATGATTATGAGCAAAACCGTGCTAGAATGAGAAAAGTCTGGGTGTGTTAAGCATAAGTCACAATTCAATTTCACTAACAATTTCAAGTTTGGCATGGATGGGGTGTAGGGCAAGGTGAAAGGAGCACATATGAAATCGCCTGCATCGAAATAACGGTGGTTTGAGCACATGACACAATTTCGTGATGGGCATCCGGGATCACGGTTTATTTTTTGGAGTTCCCCAGACGGTAAGCGACTTTAGTCACCGCGAGGTAGGCATTAGGTAGTAGGGATGAGAGAAAGCCTGCTCTTTCTGGCAGATCTCGACAACTTGAATTCTGATCAGAGGAACTCGAATCACAGTTCCGTTTCCACGGAGAGAATCAGCTAATTCATTATGACTCCAGGCATTAATGATTGTAACACATGATTATCATCTATCATTAGCTTGATGTCATCGCAAGGACGTGCTCTGGATTCGGTTGGGAAGTTCGAACTACCGATTTTCATAAGCAAATGATATTTCTCGTGTTGCTCCACAAGGAAGGGGAATCGTAATGTAAAAAGTGTATGTCTGACCTGAAAAAGAGGTAGAGTAGTGGGTTTACGAGTGAGTTTGCAGCAAATACAACCATCACTGCCCAGTTCATCCATTTTCCATGTTTCGAGCACTGTGAAATGAAAACCTGAAGCAAAATTTGTTGCAGTTTGCAAACGGACGGGAGTGAGTACGAGTTGAGCACAAGAGGTTCGAGAATAGATCACATCAGATAAAGCTAACCTGTCCCACAACGAAAAGTATCGTATTAATGATGCATGGCACCAAAAGGCGAGTCTCAATGCTCATCTGACGCTGGATTGACAGCAGCGCGGGTGTGGTACTTCGTGTGGTATGCACTCTGGCCTCTGTAAAAAGAAAAGCTCGATGATCTCGCAGAACCCTGAATTCCTTTTCCGCAACTCACTGATAGTCCGCTCAGCCTGTCGTCGAAAGAGGATGATTAGTGCCGCCGCGTAGAACGGAAAAGGTAGTACCATCAGTACCACATTACAAACCATGTAGTAGGTATTAGTACCAGATTCATTGTATTTCACCCAGTCAGCATCCATACCGTATCGACTTGGATTGAAATAGAGCGGTACAAACCAGTCAAACTAAAAACGTGAACTGACAAATGTTCCTTATTCCTGAATGATCGTCTCCAAACCTGATGCTCTACGATGGACTGCACAAGACCTGCCAACCATGGTGCTGCACAAATGGCTAGGCACGTAGTAGGTGCTAGTACGCGAAACCAATTTGGCCACTGCACTGCGGCCCATCGAGACCAGGCCACGACAGTGTAATGATAGACCATCGCCCACCTGCAATGGTAGCCCTCTTTTGAAGGTTAAAATATGGTGTTTCTCCTAGAAGACTCACGTTTTCCACCTCTTATTCATCTCAAACTGGAACCTTTATAATTTTAGCCTGCAGATTCCCTGACCAGCTCTCCTATTCTTTTCTTTGAAAGGTATAACCGATCCAATCAAAGGGCTTTTAGAGACAGATAAATGACTACACTGAACAGGTCATTTTCTAGGACTTATTCAAGAGGCACAGTATGAATTCAAACCATGCTGAAGTCACAACTAGTGTTGAAAGTGGTTTCGATGACTTTTTAGTGCCAAGAACATATTGGTCCTGAAGAGCACCGAGGGGCATTTTTGGTCTGAGGAACAGACCTGTGATATGTAAGGGACCAAAACCGATTCATTTGTGCTTCTCGTTCAATAATCTTAATGAATTTCCCTGAAACTTCGGATTCACCACTCACATGAACGATTCCTTACTGAATCTACAGCAGTTCAGGTGACTTAGTGTAAGAGTGAAACGGTAGGCCAGAAAGCTTCTCAAAGTGGAATTTTGGTGTGCGTTTGCTACATTTCTTTTCATAGCGCTGAGGCTCGTTTAAATAGCCCGAAAAAAGAAAAATGTGCCTGGACACAAACCTCTCCACTGCTGATTTCAACGAGAAGAGAGCACAGTGTCTGACACTCAAAGTCGTTTTCTGAACGAACTTAACTATTTACTTCTACAGTGTTCCTTATTTGAAAGCACAATAGTTCGCATTCGAGGAGTTTCACATGAACTCTGATCTTCCATTTTGCCCAACGTGGCCCGACAATTCCTACAAGCGCTCAAAGTTGAACAGACGGCTGGACGTTTGCGCTCTGGTACGTGATTTCAACCCCTGCACTGAAGCTGAAGCTTCGTGAATCTTGGTGAAAGGATATTAATCGATGAGGATTCAATCTGTTCAGACATATCAATGCAATGGGATAGCACTAAAGCGGTGGAATGGGCAATTTATATCCTGTACAATTTGCTTAGCTGTGCGGGATAAGGAAGAACTGCAGAAATATAATATAAACCTGACGCTACTCATCTAACAATAAGACTCGCTTTCACAGATCCAGCAAATGACACACAACACCTTTGCTTCTGGGTAACTTCGGTTGCATGGCACCGATCCAGCTCAAGCATATCGAAATAGGATTATTGAGAGCAAGAAAGAAATCATACCATGTAAAGTCGAGATAGATGTGCACGTGCCATCTGGTTCCTTCTGGTAGTACCTCATCTTGAATCAGAATCGTAAATCCTGGCCAGATTGCAAACTAAAAATGCGATTGAANTTCTCCTATTACAAAAAGAAAAGATGAACCTTAATGACATGGGAAGAAAATTATTAAACGTGAAAAAGCTATTCAATTTTTGTCTTACTACTTTTTCCTGTGTTGGGATCTTAAATCTTTTTGTATAAACACTACATTTTTGTAACAGAATATTTTAGCACAACCCTCCGAACCCACACGGGTTTACTATCGAAAGGAGTTACGAGCAGAAATGGGAAAAAAAGCGGGAAGATAAACGAATAATAAAGTAATGGAATTTAATAAGATGGGGCAGGGGCAGGACAATGGTACTTGATACACTTTGGCGCTCTAGAGCGTTGAGCTACGTTAGCTTGACATTCAGCTAGTGTTGGAGCGACAAAACATCAAAACACATTCATTTCAGAACATTTCATATTTCTCAACAACTACTGCGATGCTAGAGGGGGTAAATCGTAGTTTGACGTAGGAGGACTCAACGCGAAAAGCATGAAAGGTAGAGATCTCTTTAGAACAGTTCGTTCCGACCGTTGTACATGGTTGTCCATTCGGGGAGGAGATACCGGTTGATCCGCAACGACTTCGCACAACGCTGCCTATTCCTGATTGTCTCGCTCTCTCAGAAAACTGTTCAGTGAAGTTTTATTGAAGCAGAACTCGTAGGGAAGCCCCTCTTTCACAGAGGAGAACAGCCTTTGTTCACACACACGCAAGAAAGGTCACAGTGTGATTCTGATAATGCCCCTTCACGCGATTTTTTTCCACTGTTTCCTCCGTTACAACCTTTCGCAGTGAGATGCGTTTTTCTTTAAACTTAGGGTTTGTCCCAAAGCTTCTTCCTTGTGAACTTTTCCACTTTTCTTAGTTGTTGACATAGAATCGTCGCCTATCAAAGGAGTCCAATCGGTCTCAATCCAAGATTCCCAAAAGCTTTCTCTGTGAAATGAGAACACAATTTTACAGAGGTATGGTTGATAAGCCGTTCGCGTATCAAGTTGATGCACTGCCAACAAACATCGGGGCCTTGTCCAGCATTATTCCTGCTATGGAAACCCAACAAATGGGCTTTAACGGCCAGAGTTACGTTCCACTGCATGACCTGCAGATTCAAATATAGTTTGGGCTTTTGAGCACACCAAACAAGAGGATGAGACAACATAGCAAGCCGTTTTGATTCAACCCGAGCTTAATGGCAGAATCTCAAAAAAAAAAGAGCATCAGTCTTTCTTTTTAAATGTTTTAGCCTTGTAGGCTACAGTTTTCCCGAATCGCATTAAGTGGCATTTAATAACTCTCCCAATCAGTATTTCTTATGGCTCCTTGGTTGAAATTCCGACTGTTTCGACGATGTTCTAATTCCGTTTTCAAAAGCCGAAGAGTCTACAAAAAACGGAAATCTCGATGGTGGAGATATAACTGAAATATCACCACGTTCGTCTCAAAGAAAGAGTACTTATTTTGTAATTCACACGAGTAGGAAGTCATACCTGTAATAATAAAAGAAGGTCAGTAATCGCTTGACTGATAAGAAATCGAAATCCGACAATCTCGCCGATCATTTGTAACATACTGTAGGTAATTAGTCCGTAAAGAAGTACACCGACCAAACCAATAAGAACTAGAAATAAACCAGCGACAGCGTCTGGTAGAAGCATTACTACACTGAAATATTCAGCATCCATTTGGATGATTAGCAATGAAGCGGTGATTCATAAAGAAAGTACATACGAAAAAAACGAGGATATTAAAAAAATAACAGGCTTCTTCGGAAATCAAATGCCTGGTAGGTCTGCCACTTTATGCTCAACAAAATACTTGTCAAATTACAGCCAATTTGTCTCACTTTCGATAACTGCTGTAGGATATAAGTGACAGTATTCATCTGTGGAAGCCAGCCACAGCAAAGTTTCCTTGGCACCGTTAAAGCACGTTTTCGCATAATGGACATCAGACCAGCATCCGAAAAAGTAACAAAGTGAGTTTTCCGTTCGAATTTCGCTCAAAAATCGCTTTATAGAATAGGGGAACTTTGGCTAGCATAATTGGGGTGAAATTGCGAATCCCTGCTCAACAAACTATAAGCTAATAGCGCATAAGCTGCACGGAACGATTTGACAACCTTTTTGCCGAGAGCGTCACAAAATTCTTCCTATATGGAGCCAATAAGACCCAAATGAAATGAAGCTATGCTAAAAATGTGAAGTCAAGCCAAAATGAAAAATTTTACTCGAATCTCATCCCTAAGCGTTTCATTAGGAAGCGTTCATTAAGCGATATGTGAGTATGCGTGGGTCTTCGATGTTTGATGACTGAAGTGGTCCTCGATGACCATACTGGGTAGGAAACTAGCTGCTCTCTTCATTGTCAGCCGACACTCTTCACGAAAATTAGCGCGTGCTTGTCAGCTCTGTGAGGAAATCTTTCGGACTCAAAGAGGATGTCGTTTTCTTTTTTTCTTCAAATCCGTTCCTATAATATCGTTAGTCTTACGAAGGTTCCAATGCCTCTGGCGAAAGGTCGCCCTGTTTCCTGTTGTGAAAATGCTTTTAGGTGTATGCACACCCCTTCCTTCTTTTCAGTTCTTTCGGTGTGAGACAATTAATTTCCTATATTTGTAAAGCAAGCGAATCAAAGTGATAATCTTGAATGGCACGTGCCTCTATGACACATTTCCACGGGTGTTCAAGCGAGAACATCTCAAAAGGCGAATGAGAAATTGACATGTGAGGCATGACGTGTGTGCCGAAAATACAATTAACAACGTCGCTAACCACTTCTCAATCATCAGAAAAGAAAGTCGACCAAAGTATCACAGTATAAGGCCGAGAAGCACCATCGAAAGCAAGGAGGAATCATCGTCCTCGACTGTATTGTGAGTCTCCTGTGCCTCGCCGGCAGGAGAATCACAGTACAATAATAAATGGTTGACAAAAGCCGAGGTTTTACGAAGAGAGGAGCTGGATTTTGCAAGAAGGAATTCTTCAAGAACACCATCAAGCATTTATCGCAGAAGAGGATGAGCTTCAAATAATTATTTTTCCAATGATTCCTTTTGAATAAATTCGAATCCTTCTACCGCTTTGAAGATGTTCTGACCAACAGGGAGCAAAGAAATTGGTACCCGACTAAACGATCGCAGTAGCTCGGCAATACTGAGGCTGCTTCCTGAGCTAGTCACATTTCACGGATTGACGACCACTGACAGCCAGAGATAACTCTTTTAGCGATGACTCGGATTTGCAAGAAAATCTCCTAAAAAGGCTATCACATGATCTGCCCCTAATTTCTTACCACTTTACTACCAAGGTGGCAGTGAAGCAGCACCCGAGCCTCTTATGGCTGCCTCTGAAGTAAGTGTTGTCTGACGAAGTTTTTCGGCCTCGACCATCCACACTTGTTTTTCTTTAAAATAGTAGTGGTGTATGAATGCGTGTCTGGCTTACGTAATGACCGGCGCAGGAAAGACCATTAACTGACTGCTTAGATTTTTCGATGCTATAGGCCGACTGAGTTTTGTCTTGAACAAATAACTTCGAAATAAGGGGAAGGCATGTCCCCTCAGCGAGCCTTCAACATTTGATGCGGTGCGGTGGCAGTATACTGGAGAGGTGAATTCTTTTGACCTCAATCAGTATCGCTTTGAGATGCGCTGCTTTATTGAACTTCCAGTAGTGGCGTTTTGAATGCATATGACGTCTATAGTACATCGTACAAACTAGTACCTCTGTCATTCTAGACGACCCTGATATCAACTGACCTACCATAGAGAGATGGAGAGCTTGGTCTCAGTGGATTTGATCCCAAACCTTACGTGCGTGATAATGCGCCACTTGCCACTATAACACCTCTATCCCCACATCCCTCCATCGAGTAAACGAACTTAGTTGTCCTTGCAATATGGAATTGACTTTTGCTAGTCATTTTTCTCTTATTATCGCTTCTTTTGACACTTTTTACCAACCTATACATGCAATTAATCTCATTGCGTGTAATGCTGCCACCTATTTCTGTCACCAATTACCAGTGCCATTTTACAAATTTAGTTTGGACTTATCTTCATGTGATAAAAGTAGATAGGTAAAAGCGATTCAGGAGCTTTTGCAATGTATGACCCATTATCAGGGATTATCTGCTGTCACCTTTTTCTTTTACCGATCATCTGTGATCCACCCACACCCCATACGATAATACATTCAAAGTGTTAATTTTCCGTCTGCGATAGGAGGACGCACTAGATCTGGCCAGTATTTTCTTACGAACCCTCTTATCAACTTATGCCATTCCTTATGAGTCCACCAACATCGAGTCACCATCCACTTGGGAAGCCATCATACCCACATCGCTCTTCCGGGTCTCTTTACTAGCCATCATCAGTTGTTATCGCTGACTGGTATCGGCCACTAGATTCCCACCCCTATTTGCACATCCACTCTAATCCGAACGTTAAAAAGTAAAGAGAGTCAGAATTTCCGATCGAGACTTACTCACACTCATACACACGATTCACTCACACACACATGAGCACACAAACAAAGGTATAAAAAAGAAGGTCAAAAAATCGACAGAATTAACAGATTATACACTTCTATATTTGGGCACATCACAAACACCTGACTTGTTTTTCATGGGTATATAACAAGAGATGTGGTAAAACTCACATAGGACGAAAACCTGAAGAAATGGAAATGTTTTGAGTAAAAAGATGCTGAAGGCCCGGAAGGTTTTACCGGATCTGAGCATTTAGCACTTTATTCATTTTGGCAAAAGCGGCGCACGAGATTTCATTGTGGGCGAAACTTGCCGACTCTCGAACACAATGCGATCCCCGAGCATTCTATAGGTAGTGCACGGAACCTGCTGATGTCATTTTCCACCCGATCCACATGAACGGCATAGAAAGGTGGGCTTAAATGAGCTAAAAATTAGTGCACTGGAACAATTGAGTCGTAACTGGAACAACTGAGTCGTAAGGTCGCAGGACGTGCTCATTGTTACTTGTACTGTAACCAGCAATTAAATTAAAACGATTACAGTCAGTTCCATAAGGTGGTGGAGGTGTTGTAGTGGTAAAAGGCGCACGTCAGATACGCATGGTCACGGGTTCGAATCTTGCATCGATATCTCCGCCTAGGCGAACCAAACCTTCCATCCCTGCGGAGTCAGTGAATTGGTACCGATTCGTCCGGGAGAATAAGAGCCCTGACTTGTACATCGGTTGGCCACCGCAATTCGTTGTAAACACCGCACAAGCATTCAACATGCCACTAGGATTCTGAATAGAAGTCAAATGCGGGGCGCATATCTCAGACGAAGTTGAGCAGCGCCCAGCAACTCCAGAGACTTTTACCAGCACCATATAAGCCGCGTTAGCTGGGCTTCGGTACATATTGCACAATACAAGTTGAAAAATCAGGGAACATTGCTGGTTTCGAACAGATGCTTGCTGTCTGCAAAGGTCGCTCGGAAGTAAGACGGCAACAAATCCTCCATGACTGAGCAGGGTGATGATTCACTTCGTAACTGAACCAGGCTTAAAATGGGATGAAAGTCAGTCTGTAGCCATGGACTCATACCACACCAACATAAGTAGTGAGAGTAGACGCTATGCCTGAGAACAGTTCTATTCCGTTTCTTACCCCTCTGTTTCCTCCCACTGTGAGCATAGCTTGGGAGGATGTTGGCAATGGTCTAATGCCACGTTGACCTTTATGATAATGAATATTTCACAACAAAAAGCAAAAGTGGCAACGACCCTTATTTTCTTCTAATTCTTTTGTGACAACATAGTGCTTTAAAGGGGGAGACGGGCGTTAGGAACGATTTTGGNTAATCGATTCGCCGCACGCGGCTGTCGCGGACCACCCATTCGCCGTTATTACAGCTCTAGCGTTCTTCATACAGCTCAATCGATATGCGATCATTATTTTATGCATGATTCTACTATTAGTACTTTTGTTCTTGTATTTCTTACCTACTGCTGCATCCTGCTACATTCCTTCGCGCGCGACGCTCCTCTCACAGCGACGCGACCATTTCGTTCCTAACGCACCACACCCCTTTAAAGGCACAGTTTTTTTTTTCGATAAAAGTGGTTTCCGAGATACCAGATTCCCTTCTAGGACTAATCCATAGACCCCAAGTATCTATATGTGGCGCCGTCAGATCGAAAAACATGGCAAAAGTGGAAAGCAGTTCCCGATGTTAGCTTAGTGTTGTTTCGTATATTACTATTGTGTGTTAGCCCCTCACACAATAGTAATATACGAAATCTCGTCCAAACGCCCAATCCATACAATTCCCGTCATATAAATCTTGTACAACCTCTACTTGCACCACTTTTAAGCAGTTCGCTTTCTTAAAATACGCCGATTTTTGCGCTTTCTCCGCCACCCCCGCACTACTAACACCATCGCTTTCATTCTTTCCGAACTGGTTACCTCAAAACAATTATTCATTCATTATTAGAATTACCGTGAATTGTGCCTTCGAAGGCATTTTCCCAGCAGTAACGATTCAACCGTCCGTAGGACATGATATATCTCATTGTTATGGTGGCAGCAGCATTCCGATTTCCCAGCACCGTCTACCTAAATTTCGGAGCACCCAAGTGCCCAATGCACCACCTAAGTTGGCCCACAGCAATTGTGAGTGCGACTCGAATGTTTCGGGAGGGATAGGAAAC